TGTTGAGGCAACAGTACTGTTTGTGTGAAGCCTTGAAAAATCTCTTCTGCACATTTACACATTGACTGTATGGTCCTGCCTTTGGGGAGCTGTTTTCCTCAGTGTGTGTGTGTGTGTCTGGTCTGTAACGTGCCACATTCCTCGTATGCAGAGCAGCGTAAAGGGCAGTGGCCCCACTTCACCAGAGGTGCAAGAGGGGGGTGGTGGAGAGCAAAGTGATTGATGGCTGAGGGGGAGAAGGCCAAACAGGTGGATGTGCCGCGGGAACATCCAGTGAGCAGATCTCGTTATTTGCAACGTTGTCATGTCTCCATCCTCGTAACAACATATAAATAACAATGTATAAATGTATAACAAACAACAGAGAAAGGCGCTAGCAATTTATAATAAAGCCCATGATGTATTGTGTAATTTCCTGGAAATTACCATCTGGTTTTTCTGAATTAGGGCGCAGTTTACAGCAGCTTCAAATAGTGATTTAGTTGCACAGCAGAACAAGGAGGGTAAAAACAGGAGGTTTCAAAAAGATAGAAGAAACAAATTATACTGTAAATATTTTAGTAACTTTGGGGTATTTTCTTACTTTCAGGTGCAAGGCTTATATTATTGAGTAACCTAACCTGCCCAGCTTACATTGTAATTAGACAAATACATACATATTTGGAGAACTAAATTTTTTGTGCGAATGAAAATCAGAGCAACTGAAATGATTAAAATGAGACAATTTAAATTCAAATATAAGTCATTTTAATTCAATATCAGGTGGCACCAAACATGTTTAATTACAATGCAAAACTATGAGGTCAGGCAACTCAGTGATACACCCCATGCCCCTAAAAGTGCAGTGTAATTACAGTGCAAGAAAAGAGGTGTTGATGGAGGCTACTTGTTAATACAGCCCGGTCCCCAAAATGTATTGTGGAATTATAATGCAACATGAGGATGTTATTCTACTTGAAAATATAACACGGACAGCAAAAATGTGTCTGTAATTACAATGTAATATAGGACGTTGAGCTACTTTATAATAAAGTCTGCATGTTTTTAATAAATCCTGTGTAAATACAATGTAAAATAGGGTGGTTAGACTACTCTATGTTACAATTCATGCCCCTAATAATACTTTGTAATTATTTTTCAAGTTGGGGAGGTTAGGCTATGCAGAAATAAGGTCTTCAAACTTACAATCCTGAGTAATTACAGTGTAAAACTGGAAGGTTAAATTACTCAGTAATACAGCCTGCAACCCTAGAAATGCAGTATAATTACAGTGTAACACAGAGAAACCTTCTTTCCTCTAAAACATCTCGAAGTTGATAATTACGGGATATACTTATATGTACTTATAATGTACCCATTTTCCTCAAAAACAACATTACTTTTCAAAATGTAAATTCAGTTTTTGTGGTTGAATTTCAGTGCAGACACGCATCAGGACTGTTTGTAATATGGACATCAAAATAATATATAATTATAATGAGATGGGGGAGTTTATGCTTCCCAATATTATTGTAAAAAAAAATGATAAAACATACCACAAATTTACAGGCTACTTAAAGATACATCAAATCTAATTAGTTTATTTTAAAAATAAACATACAATGGTTCCCCTCTTCTTCTCATCTTCTACTGTATCTAAAGATAATTATTTTTTGGTACAAAAGAATTATAGGTACTCTTACATGGAAACATTTTTGGAAATTTCTGTTCTACTAAAACGTACAGGTCTTCTTTAAACACGTTAATTACCCAGCAATAAATAAATAAATAAATAAACTCAAAGACAGCGGTGGAAGCAGAAAGGCTGCTGAAGCAATTTATGATAATTACATCTCTTAAAATAAACTACTCTGCTTCCTCAGTTACAGTTTGTAACATTATTTCTTCTGGATAACATCACTCTGCTGTGACTGTGAACAGTGTCATTATGGATGTAAGTAATTCTCAGCCAGCCTAGGGAAAACAGCATGACTCGCAGATCTTAAACCAAGGTGATGTGCACGCCCTCCTGACAATACCACAGTTTGCCTTAACATCCTCCACTGCAGCATGTTTCCGTCCCGCTGCTGCCACTCACTCCGGATTTTCCTGCAAAACCACCCAAACTCCCTTCACGCTGAAGTTCATGATCTTATCCTGATCCAGAAGCGATAGGGATCTAAATCACCCTGCTGGGAGCAGCTCAGGCCTTTCCCTTCCAGTGAGTCTCAAGGGCGGCAGCAAGTCACCACCAGGGGGCTTGGCCTACATTCCCAAGTGTGGGCCAAGGCTGTGTTCTCACCTTTGCCCCACATGAGCGGGCTGAGCTCAGGAGAAGATGTGAAGTTTAGTGGACTTCAATGCTTTAACTGGAAATCATAGAAATACAGTTAGAAGAGTTTTGGTGGAACCACAAGTTGTGCGTCAGCAAAACAAAAGACTGGATTGAGATGAAAAGACTGTTATCGGTTTGGATTCCTTTCTCTGCCCCTTTCACTGACCACTGCCAACAGCAAACACTTTGCCAAGTCTTTGTTTCATGATACAAGACTTATGACTTCCTTATAATGCCTGGATTTTTCCGAACTGATCCCAGCAGTTTTGCAGCCCCCTGCCTCCTGCCTGCAGCTGGATGGATAACCTTCCACCAGAGGGTTTTAAAAATGCGGTAATTCCTTCTAATATGAGTGAAGTTTAAATAGCCTAGGAGTGGAAAAGGGTTCCTTAGGTAAAGCCTCAAGTCATGCACCCCAACAAACTCACTAACACTTAATAACAAGCTAATGGTGATTTATGCTGACTGTGTGGTGGCAGACTGACCTTATCTACTGCTGATGTTTTCAGGACTTCAGCCTGAAGTTTTTCATAATCATTCATATCCAAACTTTAGCTTTTCTGCTAAAGTTTGGATAGCCAGCAGACTTGGGCTGTAACCACAAGTACTGCAGGACGTGCTTGTTGATTCTAGTAATCTGTGAGGTTTGCTATATTCAAAGGATTTATTGGGCCTTTGCATAGCAAGTAATCTAAAATCCACTATATCCACCTTGTAATAAAAAGGTTGCTGGGCATGCAGGTTCTTTTTAATTTGCTCCATCTCCCTCAGAAACTATTTGTATGAAAAGCTTTAAAAGTGATTAAACTCGTACATATTTTAAATACAAAAAGCAGAAATTTCAAATATGAAAACATAAATGTATTCATTAACATTTACTTTTAGAGTTTTTAATTAAATATAATATTGTCCCTGAAACAGTAACTACTGCAGAAAAGGTTCAACTGTGCCGACTCAAGCAACATATGATACGTGACTGCATCAGATGTTAGATATTAAAAAGTGAGTTGCATACATTCAAAGTCTGCAGCGTTTTTTCAGTTCGTTGTGGTTTGTGGCCCTTTGTTTATGCACAGCTCTCACAGGTCTTACTGTAGCAGTTTGAGGTCTGGACTTTAGCCAAACCATTGCAACCTTCATTCTTTGATTTTCAGACATTCTGTTGTACAGTTGTTGCTGTGCTTGGGCTCATTGTGCTGTTTCATGACTCAGTTTGTGCCAAGCTTTAGCTGTTACACAGATGACCTCACATTTGACTTCAGAGTATGAAGGTATACAGAGAAGTTCATGGTTGACTCAGTGCCTGCCAGGTGCCCACAAGCCCAAATCATCACCCCTCCACCACTGTGCTCGACAGTTGGTACGAGTTGATTGTGCTAATATTATGTTTGGTTGTCTCCAAACATGGCCCTGTGCATGTTTGCAGTACAGCCAAACATCTTCACTTTGCTCTTACCTGTCCAAAGGACATTGTTCCACAAGTCTTTGCAAACCTAAGTCTTCCTGCCATCATTCTTTCCAGAAAGGAGGCTTTCTCCTGCGCATCTTTTCAAACAAACCATTCTTGTTCAGTCTTTTTCTAATTGTACTGTCTTGACAATTTTCCTCTTGTTAAAGCTTCTCACCTGGCCATATAACCCATCTCAGACTATTGGGCTTCTCATTCCTGATGTCTTACCTGAATGCTACAGACCATCAAACTAATACATCTCTGCTTATGAATGTGTGCACACTTAGGTATTAAAGTGCATTTGATTAGGGGCACCTGGCTGCTCCTATGGAAGCATTAACAGTAATATGTAAAACTTCAACACTGAAAGGTGTTAAAAGTTTCACATATGATTTGAAAGTCTTTAAATTTGTAGTTTGAGTTAAATAACCACAAAATACTGCAATAGTAGAATTTTTGTTATTAGTTGGTACATCCTTTTTTTTTTAACAATAATTGCCATATTAAAATTTTCATTATTTAACAGTTTCTTACTGTTAAATATTGGCCTGTGCTTTATTCTGACACAAACATTTTACATTTTTTTAAAAACTCTTTTGTTTCCTCTGTTTATGCAGTGTACATACTCACCCAACTGTTGTAATATAACAAACTCAATTTATTAATATTAAAAATAAATAATGCAATGTACTGTCTGTTGACAGTCAAGTCAAAGTAAATGCTTCTTTCACTGAGAAGTGGGCATAAATAACCCGAGTCCTTGTATGTGTACTTGAACGTTAAAGCTGATTCTAAATACCAATATACCCGTCAGTCTCTGTATATACTACAACTACAATATGGCAACTAAGGACACCTTTATAAGTTCTCACTAAAATTATGCCTTGAGTTATTTAAAAATATGAGACTAAAAACTATTTTGGTATTCAAAACTGCCATTCTGGAAAATTTACGTAAAAACTTACCTCACGTAATTTTTTTGTTCATCTTCTCAAGAAAAAGAAAGCAAAGCTGGCCGGGCTTCAAAATAGACAGCTGACTTCTCTCAGGCCGCAGCGAAGCCAAGACATGCTAAAAGTTCAACAAATGACACGTGAGGAATGCGGGATTTTCTGGTCATACATTAGATACGGTAAAAAATATTAAATACTGCAAGAGTATGAAAAAAAAAGTTAATAATGCCTGATCATATAAAAATAAAATAAAAAAAGCCATAAAAATCAACGCGTCTCCATTATATAAAACGATTTATTAAACATGTTTAAAATGTGAATGACTTAAAACTTCTCACATTTGGGAATAAAAGACAAATTTAAAACAACACATTTACAAAAACACTGTACAATATACACATAAAAACCACTTAAAACCTTAAAAAACAAAACCAAGGATAAAGTTCTGGTGCTGGTGACATTTTACACGCCTGACACATGTGACCAGCAGCTGATCTGTTCAAACCGAGACGGTGGGCTCAATCTGAAAACTCAGAGTCGCCCTGGGAGAGCTTCAGTTTCTCATGAAAGGAGAGTGATGAGCGCATCCAGAAACTTGCTCCTGTCCTCAGTCTTCAGTTCAATTACTGCAGAAAGAAAAACACAGATAAGAAAGAAAAAGAAAAAAAAAAAAACAGGACAAATCATCCAGCAGCGTTCTGACATCCTGGGAGGAGTTTTTCCGCTTGCGATTTTTAAAATGATGGTGAACTGGATAAATATTTTAGATGGGAATGAGCAGAATATTCTAAAATATTCTTTCACACATGAGACATGACAGATTAAAGTAAAAATCCTGAGTAACAGCATCACAACTGACAGTTTGGGTGAGAATGGCAAGATAAACAGATTGCACATTAAACAAAGACTAGGCTGACACCTAGTGGCCACATTACAGACATGCAAGAGCAAATTCACTGACTGTCTGCACAGCAGCAAAAAAACCAAACAAACAACACTTTACTGTTTCTTACTTGAAGTGTCGAAGTGGTCGTGAAGAGTCCTGGAGCTCGTGCTCTCTGCAGCTTTCTCAAATGCACGACCAAAGAAACTAAAAGGGCAAAAACAAACGCAGAGGAGGAAATGAGGCAATGTTGTTGTATACTGGTAGAAAAATGTGAAAAGGAAATAAATAAGAGCCACTAGTTGTTATTTAAGTCCCACTGTGTCATGCTCTGAACTGGAAAATATTCACGCCTTTATTTAATTGTGTCTGAATTATTATAATTCAGCATTTGCTCGTCTTAACAGAACCTGGAACGTCTGCAGGCTGTTCAGAACGCTGCTGCAAGGCTTCTAACTTATAACTCTTCTCACATATCACATACACAGGCTCACCATTAACCTCAGAGACCATTTGAAGACTCTGGTTTTGACTTTTAGAGCATTGCATGGACAAAAATCAGCTCACATTGGTGAACTTTTATATCCGTACATCTCCAGCAGGCTCTGAGTTGTTGAGATTAAGTCCTGCCGAGATTTGTGGACTCTGATCTCTTTCAAAAAGCAGCTAATCAACTTAACCAGAGATGCAGGTTGAGAAGGAGAGAAATCATAAACTGAGAAACTTACTTCTTCTTGTCGGACGTCTCAGACTCTGGTGGGATTCCCACAACAATGACAGTTCCCTTCTCCACATCCTTGGGGGCAGCCATGACGAGCGGGAGCAGTTTGCAGCGTTTATTTCTCGTCTAATTGGCCAAGACACCGTGAGTGAAAGAGCAGAGAGACTTGAATAACTATGATTTCAGTGAACCTCCTTCTACATTGTGAATCAGTCCCGATAGCGTTCAGACACTCACTGAATGGACAAAAGCCTTCAGGAGGTACTTGCAGAGCAGCGTTAGCGCCATGGGCTTGGAGAACAGCTTCACGTCAGGTGTTCCCTACAAAGAGAGGATGTGAATAGGATATATGGCTAAATAAAATTGAAAGCATGCACATCTCAGGCATCCAAACACTCGCACCTCCATGAGGTAGCAGTAGAGGAAGGGTCCCTGCGACAGGATGAGGTTGGTGCAGATGCAGCTGGCGACCGTTTGCTGGATGGCAATCAGCTTCTTCTTCGCTAGCTCAATACCCGAATGCAGACGATCGATGTTGCTCCTGCACAGAGAAAAAAAAAGAAAAAGAAAAAGAAGAAGACATTTTTAAAGGAAATGTGAGCAAATTAAGTCTTTGAACAGTGAACTTAGTTTCCTTTGCACACCTAGAAAGGGCATCGAGAGCCTTGATGAAGTTGTCAGTCTCGCTGTCATCTTTCTCAGCACTCTCCAGCAAGGCAGCAGTAGCGTGCACCATGTCGCTGGCCAGGAAGCGGTTCTTAAAGCCGAAGTGAACGCCAAACGTCTGGATGCGGATGTCCTTCATACTGATGAAGAGGAGAAATGGGAGTAGAACAGGGAAAAGCAGACTGGATGAGCAGTCAGTGTTTGCCATTCAAATTCATACCCGTATTTATTGGAGGACTCCTCAATGACGTCCCTCAGGTTTTCTTTGATTGACATATCCATGGAATTAAATTTCTGACGCACTTGTTTCAGCGGCAGTCTGTAACACAAATTTTCTATAAAACAAATTCCGGCTCAACAAAAAGAGGAAGTTTGTTAACACACAAAGCATGGATTTGAAAGCACTTTACCCCATGTCTGCTAAAAACTCCTGGAGTTTCTTTTGGCCGTTTAAGGTCCAGAGCTTGAAGCTGCAGGAAGTGTAACAGGAATTATAAATGCTCTCATACAGAGACCAGTGCTGGTAAAGGGTAAGACGAAGACTGAAGAGACAGTTAAGGCTCTGACTTTCAGTAATTTTCAGCAATTGTGAGGCAGAAATCCGGTGGAACATAAAGATCTGTAAAGGCAACAAGCCAGATGAGTTAAGGATACTCGTATTCAAAGGAGATCCTCATACAGTCGATGGAGAGCGAGTTCTCCTCATCCTCGTTTCGGTGGTTATGTCGGGAAACGTGTCGCTGCATAGTAGCGATGTCGGTTACATACTTCATACTAAAAAAGTAAATAAGAAGAGAGGCAGACAAAAAATAACTCAGCAGAAATATAAAAGAAAAAAAAGAGAGATCAGCAGTGATTTTAAAGAACAGTTTACACAAAGTTTCCTTGTATTTATATTTCAGATAGAACCCAAAATGCAATGATTGGTAAATCTTTGAAATATTACATTTGAACAGTAAGGGTTAAAGGTAAAGTGGAAACCTGTGGTCTGAACCGTCACAATTTAAACCTCTTTTTGGATGCAGGTCACCAGCACAGTTCAGCATGAGGGGTGCAACACTGCTCGTGATATAGCCAAGTGACATATCTGTGATATCCATTATTCCTGAACAACACATCCTTCAGCTGAGGCAACATCGTCCCCATTTCAGTAAGTCAGTGCTCAAGCACATTCTGCACGAGCATGGCTCCATCGCTAAAGAGTCCATGTGCTGAACTTGTCTGCTTCCAGTCCAATAATATCTCCAGGAGGGCCAATTTGTTAAGCAACTGATTTCTTTTTTATATATCAAGTAAGACAAGGAAAGCAATTTTCATGAGAATCTGCTGATAGTTTTTTTTAACTTTAATATATTAAACTCAAACTGAGTCACGACACTCAAAGTGCACAGCATTGAGTCAAAAATTGGCACCTTATTTCCATCCCTCATAACATCACAGGCGCAGAACTATGTGAAATATTCAGACCTGAAATGCTTTAAAAAAAAAAAATATAATAATAATAATTTTTTTATGTCCACAAAAAAGCACAGAAGGAATCTCGTACAGAGACAAAATATGGATAAAAAGGAGATCTTCTCCAGGGATGTCAAACTCATTTTACATCACAGGCCACAAACAGCTTACTTTGATTTTAAATGGACCTCACCAGTTAAAATTCCCCTTTGTGTCAGTGTGAAGAAATGTAACTCCACATTCAATCATTGCAATATCTCAGTGTAAGAAAATTTGTGCAATTTCAATAGTATGGCTCAGCTTTTTCTACACCCCTGATATAAAAGCCACCTGTGACACGATCCTTGTTTAGCCTTTTTGAAGTTTTGTCAGCTTGACAGACAAGTTGGTGCAGTTTTGTCTTTGGGATTATGTTATATCCCACAACACCTAAACAGCTTAAAATTGGTTCTGGACAAAAACGACATTTTGGCTTCAGATTTTTATAGCTGGAGTGGGGGGGTGTAAAGGAGCTTAAAAGTCAGTTTTACCCAGAAAAAAATGGGTTATGAGTGAGCTGGAAAAGAAACGCCCCAAGAAGCATCAACCTTATGTAATTTGCAAGCCAGTAAGTTTCAAAATTTCCATAGTACAAGATGAAAACTTTGCATGCTTTCATTAAAATAAAATAAAAAAAATACTCTCAGATTTTGACCGATTTAAGGTTTTAAATTGTTTGACAGCAACTGCTTTCAGCTTCTTTTATTTACATTTTTCAGTATCCTGAGCTTTTGGGAAATTGGTTTACAATTGTTTTGATAATAGTTTTGTAAAGATGAGGGCATTCTTACTTTGTGATTTTATCATGAACCCACTGGTCTGTCAGCCCGATGATGGCCCACCTGCAAAGAAGACGCAGTGCACATCTAACAGACCGTATAAACTGTATTTCAAGATTGTTTGCCATGAAAGATGACATCTCCTCAGAAAGCTCACCACAGCATATCCTTGGTATCTTTAGTCAAGACCCATGCAAGCTCAAAAAACATCATCGCAGCCTGACAGGAAAACAAATGAAAATTCAGGAGTTCATTCAGAAATTCAGGTAACATTAATGTTCTTATATTACTTATGTGAGGTTGTCGTAACTCACCGAGGTGCCGTGATATTCATACTGCTCATAGTCAAACAGGATTTCCCTCCTGTGAAATTAATGAAAGGTAAGCATGCATTCAACTGTTGTGCTGTGCGCAGAAAGAACCAAACAACTAAGTAAAAACACTTCACCTTCGAGCCTCCCACTCCCTCTTGGCTCGCTGCCTTTCAATTCTCCTTTCGACAGCCCCCTGCAAACACAGGACCACAGCCCCAATGTAATAGCCTTTACAGTTCACGCTACCAGTTCATCCCTGCGGGCAGCACCGACTCAGTTTAATACCTACCTCATCAAATCTTCTGCGTTTCCCAGACGGCTCTGAGCCTTCATCGCTCTCATTTCCAGAGTCTTCTCCTTCCTCATCTTCATCTCGAAAGATATCGTCATACGACGGCACGCTGAGGTCGTCGTCCTGTTTGATGAGCAGCTTAATCTGTTGAGCAGAAGACAGAGTTAATGTAATGCTCACTTCCACAAACAAGTGGGAGTATTGTTAATCTTGAACTTCAGGTGCAAATAGATCATTGTTTACAGTGAAATGCATAAAGATAATGAACTATTTGATGTTTTGTACCAGATTGCAGATACAGTACAGCACAGTAACACAAGAGTACTTCCATCTGTAGTTCTGATGGGCAAAAAGGAGACTTTATCTACATATTTAAAGGCCCCTACGCTAACTTTGCCCGCTGGACATTATCAGTCACAGAAATTAAGAAAAATCTTATACCTAACTAGCTAGGCACTTCACCGGCATGCTGGAGAGAATGTGGAGCAAAAAGGGACAATTCATGTATTTTGGACTTATTTTAACAACAAGTATTTCTAAAGTTTTGGACTTTGATACTTGTAAAGGTTTTACAATTTTTTTGTTATCTTGCCTATTCCCCTGTGGACTAAGCAATGGTGACAAACACCTTCTGAAGAGCCTGGCTCTACAGGCAAACTAGTGGTTAATATTATTAAACACACACATACCAGTGGGCAGATTATACACAGCGCCAAATAGAATTGGAGGAAATGTGTGTGTTGTTATTTGGCTCTTGAGACAAACTGATGAGACTGATGATGTGAGAAGATGTTTTTTGTTTATAAAATTCACATATACAGAACTGTCTTTTCCCCCTTCTGCTTTAAAATAATACATCAACTTGGCCCTTCTTTTTTCTTACACTCCAAACGTCTCCACTACCATGCTCACTATCAAGGTCATCATGGTTCGAAACCTCATTTTTACGTCCCCTTTAGCTGTAGGGTCGAGCATTGCATCCGCATCCTCATCAAACTTCTGCCACTGGGCTGAGTCTTACAGGCCTGACACCATCTGATCCTTCTCTTCTCAGACTTCACGCCTTGAGTGAATCCCTGTGCTACTCTGAGGCTCTGTGGGGTAGACCCTAGCCTGTGAACCTATGTGAACTTATTAGTGGGGATATAGCCCGAATTAGCAAACCACTGCACATCACCTGGGTATCATTGTAGACATTGACCACATCTACAGGCCGGTGAGTGTCACAGATGAAGAAGATGGAGTCATCATCTGGCTGCAGCATCTCAAGGAGGTCAACATTTGCTCCGCAGTTGATGAGAACAAAGTATCGAAACTGCAGCACAAAAATCAGTCAACACAATACATAAGGTTCAGTGTTTACTGTCATATATTCATGTGCAGGCTCAGAGTAGTGTACTACAAAGCTTTCCACTTCAGGTTCTCAAGCAGAAACGCATAAAAAAAGCAAACGTTTCCATGGTGATCTCAAAACGCTAAAAGCACCTTCATACTGGCTTGAAATAATGTGTTAACGTCAATCTCGCTTTGCAGCACAGCCTTCTGGTCTTATTTACCTGCTCTTTGTGTTCAAGGAAGGCAGTGCCAAGGTCCTGCCAGCCTGTAACTGGCACAAGTGTATACTGGATCTGGTCACAGTGAAACAAGGCCTAGTGAAGACACAAACAGTCAGTGTTTACATCAGCTTATAATTACTCTGAACACAGTAAAAGTCAAAAAAGCTCCATAAACTGCAACAGCACTTACTGAAACCTACTGTCAGTACTTTTAAATATTTCCAGTTAATGCATGAACAGATGGTAACCTCCCCATTATAACAATACGGTTGGGTGTCCGAAAGTCCATAATAACTGGAAGTATTTAATCAGCATGCTCTCTGTTTACCCTCTACAATGACCTTAGTTTAAGAGCGCAAATGTTCGTCATCATGCACAAAAGCCACTAGAACAAGAGAGGCAAAATAACAGTGGAAAAACAGTCAAAAACTGTGCACGGAAAGGCTACAGGAACTGCCGCTTGCTAACATTTTATTGTCTTACCTGCAGTATTTTACAGGCGCAGAGAGCGTCAATGTCTGGTGCCACCAGGAGCACGACTCTCTGTAAGTAGCACGAGAAGGTTTATAATGTAAGCGATTTCAGATGTAAAGTTTCCTAGCTGCTAGGCAATGTTGGCTAATGTTAGAGTTAGCCTTACCTGGTTGGCGACAACTTCATAAAAATCCTTTCTTATGTCCGCGATGAACATTTTCAGAGATGTTAGTCGATTAAAACTATTAAAATTAAGACGAGCCTAATCGAATCACCCTGAGGTGGCATAAACTGCGGGTTATTTTGGCTTGCTGTCAGGCTCGGAGCTTTGACAATACACACACAGTGATGCCGCTCTGTTCCCTGTTGGAAATGTGGCGCCAAATCCAAAGGTCATTCCCGACCAATCAGATAGAAGAAAATCAGCAACGTCAAACGCTGGAAGTCCCGCCTACCAGGTTGAGAAAACAAAGCAGTACTGGAACTAAAAAGAGCTGAAATAAAGTTATAGCTTTATTTATATTGATTTTGAAATATTTATTAATTTATTTAAAACGATGTCATAACGATGTTGTTATAATATGTGTAAACTCCTTTAGACTTTATTAAGAACACAATATTATTTTAACATTAGTGTTTACATTTAAATTACCTGAAGGGTGAATTTGTAATAATATAAACAATTATAGATGGTAACCTCTCTCTACCTCTATATTTTGGAGAAAGATCTAATCAGTTTTCTGTGTGTCAGAATGATTATTTTGTTTATTCCCTGACTGCAAAGACATAGGAAAACAATTTTATAAAAAACACAAAAACCTCACAGAGTTAACTATGATTTCTGTACCATACTGTTTTAAGTCTAACTGTAAAAATTCTAAAACAATGACGTATGCACACACTTCACACATTCATAAAATTGTAGTTTTCCACCGTGTGGTTACAATAACAGAAATCGTGTGAATTTATATGAGAGGTTCACTTAACCAAGTATAAATTTATTCATGTAAACCTGGAGCTCTGTAGTGACATACACTTTACAAGTATGTACTATTAAAGATGTTTTCATTGGCATAGCTATAGAAGTGGCATTAATCACACATTTTTAGACTTTAATGATAAAATCTGTTATAGACTGAAGTTTTAAAAAGTACTTGATTTAGATTAAAACATATTGGAAAGGATTTTGCCCAACCCCTTTCCACTTGAATAGTATATAAATGTATCTCATGAGCTTGTCTGGCAAAAAGCCTTGAAAGAAAACTTCTCCCGCAAACTCACAAAACAAGTTGAACTGAATTCTATTATTTAAAAAAATGTGTGTTCAATTGTTTATTTGTGTCACCACCTGAATCTGATTTACACACCCTAACGTCTGCTAAACTATCCACCCACCAACTGTCCATTACCCTGCGAAGTCATTACTTGAAATACATTAAAATAATTTCCAAAGAGCAGACTTGTTTCTATATTTTTGGCAACCAGTAGAACTACATGCTTCAGTTTGATTATAATAGGTGAAAAACTACAAAAAGAGAGGTGGCACAGGTTACAGCTTTGATTAGAGGTTCAAAAATCTGAATTATTACCACACATAATATGTAAATACATACAATGTCCGGGAGATTACCTCCCCATACATCATCTACAAATACTGGTGCCCCATAATTTGATATGCACATGCGTTTTAACCTCATTTATTAATCATCCATCATCACATACAAACTCAAAACCAGGACTGCTGACTCCAAAGAAAACATGGAAAGGACAAGAGATCATTCAGTGTCATGGGGAGATTCATTAAAAGCATCACAACACAAACAGCACATAAGCATAAGCAGAATGAGCTGTACGATCATGGCATGAAAAAAGCAAACAGGAAAGTCTCAGCAGAATCCCCCAACATCACTCTGAATGCCCTGAAATTACATAAATTAATAGAATGGATGGAAGCAAAAAAAAAAAAAAATGTGTGAAACATGCATGATTTTATGAAAAAGCAGCAGCCTAATGACCTTTTTTTTTTTGCCTTAAAGGGACAGTTCACCCCAAAAATCGAACTTACAGATTTTTCCTTGTTTATTCATCAAGACAATTCTAGTACGAGTTGGTCAGATTGGGAGAAATCAGCTGTAGAAATGTTTTTGCCTTTAGGGTGCTTGAATCCTGTTGCTTCGAGTTCCTCAAAATACATTTTAAAATTCAGATTTTTCTCTTTTACTATGGACATTTAGCCCCATTTTATTTAAGATTATAGACAGCACTACAGGCTGGAGGAAAAAATTGTATGTCCGACTTCAGGGTGAGTCATACCTTCAAAGTTTACCCACAACTTTGCTCCCATTTTCATCCTAACCACTTCTAAAGTTACAAATATTAAAAATTCAAGTAAACTCCTGCATTCCCCCAAAAGTAAACATACTTGTACACCAACCCCAAAACATCTGTCAAAGAAATTCAGATACAATTTCTCTCCTCTTGTCTCATTTTTTAAAAAATTTGACATTATCCACACACGTCTTCACTTTTGACTCCACCAACAATTAATCCACTGAGTAAAAGGAAATGACACGTTTCTTTCTGAGGTTAAAAAAAAAATGCAGCATGCCATATTCACTGTGTAGTTTGGTTACAAGTGAATACACTGGAAACAATCAAACAAACAAAAAGTAGATCCAGGAAGAAAAAAAAGGTTACATGACAGAGAGCATACACCATAACATGCAGCATACACTTCATTCATGAACTGAGAGGAACATAGTAAACAAAGGCACAAAAATTATCCGCTTTCTTTATGCCAAGTTTGGTCTGTAACCACTGAGATCCAGCTGCTTTTATGCTTGGGTTAACCGTGCAAAACTTTGGCCGGTTCAACACACAAACAGAAAAAATATATACATTAAATAAATAAAAACTCAAAATACGCCCAAACCACAAATTGTAGCGTTAAATGTCTCAGATTACGATCGATGAGTTTACATACTGGAGAGAAAAACCTGGCCAGCAGGAGCACTGGGAGGGTAGCACCATCGCCTGGAGAGGTTAAAACAGTACCTACAGTACCCCATCTACAGTAAGCCTGAGAAGACTCGTTTAACTCGCTTTACAGTTACGGTGACTTGGAATAATGTGATTGGCTGAGCTGTCCTGTTACACTAGAGATGATTTTATCATTTAAAGCAAAGCAGGCACTGGAAAAACTGTGAGAAGCGTAAAGCAGCACTGCTACATCAGGATGTTATTATCGTGGAGGACTTTTTACAGAGAAGTTGTTGTTTTTTTAAATCAATAAATGGAAACATTGAACATATATTATAGGAAGACAGAAAGTTTTAAAGCATTCGATAAAGTAAAAATAAATAAGCGTGATCAATGTGTTTTACGTGAACTTGGCTTTAAATGCAAGAGGAGTGCTTAGTTATTTGCACTCATGAAAGTTCATTTAACAGAATCAATTGGAGGTGTTATATACTTTTAATCACTAAACCCAATATATGCTCAAAACCAAAACAAATACTGTTTTCCTCTGTGCCACAGAGCTTCACTGCTGTCCAAAAACTACTGGAATGTTATATGTGTATTCATCCGCAGCTCAAAATAGTCCCTATTAATTGCACTTTTGTTTTAACAACAGTGCTCAGGAGTTTAAGAAGGTTTTACCTATAAAGTATTGACTTTTTTTCAAAGTTTTACATCATCAAAGCATCAAAACACCACAGAAAAGATGGGAAAGTCAAAGTAATATTTAACTCGTTGTTAGCTATGATTTAATCACGGGACCAGCCAACATCAAGCCAGGCTGTTTAAGCTGAAAGGCCGTTGCTGCCACTGCACTTTATGGCAGCATAAAGTTAATTTCACATTCTTAATTTGCAGGTATAACAAAGACAATCCTGTGTCTTTACCCAATTCCTTATCAAAAACAACAAAATTTTACCACAAAGTATCTTAGTGTTGTGATATGCTATAACAGGCATCACGACAGATGCAGTTTTACCCAGTAACCCCAAGAGAGACATGGTCTGGTGGTCAGTAGCATCTAAGCTCAAAGGTTCCATTACACTGGGTCATTTAATCACATCTTACTGTCTGTGTCATCATGTCATATCATGCTTCTGAGGTTTTACTAGGTGTGTTTGTGCTATTTTGATCTGTGAACAGACAGGACAGTCAAGGACTTTGACCCCTAACAAGCTGATGTTTGCTCCCAGTGTTTGTTTAAGCCTGAGCCAGCTCCAAAACCACAAAGACCGAAACAGATGGTGAAAAATCCTCAGGCATTGAGTTTCGATTCTTCTCACCAGAGGAGGCGTCTATGCACAGAAATGAACCTCAGAGTGCAGTTAGCTTCCCTTTAAGCCTCAATCCTGCTTCTTTACAAAGTTGCAAGTTTACAAAACAATCACAAAGTGATTCTCACATGAGAAACTCTTTCACAGCAGCTGAGCCAGAGACTGATGAGTGGTGGACTGGTTGTACAGTGGCTGTGTAGATAACCTGCTCAGCTGTTGTGAGTAAAGTATGTGATCTATAGGCACAATACACAGAGTGTGCAGAGCTGGGCTGGATAACAGCATCATGATAATGAGATATCCCATCTGTACCCAGCAAACATTTCAACACTGAATAACTGTCACAGCAGAATTTTCAGACATCAAGTCACAGTTGGAAAAATACATGAGGTTACTGGACATCATTGTTGGACTTTCTGGTAAGAGAAAGCTTGTGTTCAAGATTTTTTCCCCCACTATCTCCTTATTGATGAGAATAAAATAAAAAAGTGTCTCGAGAGGAGGAATCAGGAGAAAAAAATAATCATGTCAAGTGTGACCTCTTTCTTTTCCTGATCATTCCTGAGTCTATGACACTGACATCGAGGACAGGGAGGGGATAATTGTAAAATTTCAATGCATAAAGTTCACTGTGCCACAAATGAAATACAGTTTAGATGCAGAAAACTGTAAAAATATAAAGTGTTTTTGCAGTATTCCTCACTTTGAAAGAGGCTGTCTGACCTTGCCTCTATTCTATGTTGAGACAACACTGACATACGTCTGTCTACGGTTTAGTTTTTGTGGTCGTACTGCGACCTCTTTTGACCTGGGAGATATCATCCGGGTTTCGACCATGTTTGCTGGGTAATTACGGGACTAGAAAGACACCTGCTAATGTGCTAGTGTAGCTCTCAAGGGTTTCAGAAACAATGTAGGAGAAAATTTGAATCAGTAATTGATGCAAATTCATTCCAGAAAAGAAACTGTGTATCATGTCTCCCTCTACAAAAACCCCCCCAGAGAATACATTGACAATGATTAATGATCAACTTAAATACCGATATGCTGCCCAGCCCTAAAGAGTGAAAAAACAGTATTACATGGATTACTGTGCAACTCAGTTTAAATGACACCAGCAAAGAGGAAAATGCAGTTACAGCTTTTCTACATGGGCAGGATGTAGGTGGAGTTGGCCAGCTTGCGCTCCTGTGCGGCAGGAACAGTCTCTCTGTGACGCAGAGGTCTGTTGCAGTCTGGGTCCCGAAGGGGAGGGTAGTGCTGCCTGTAGCACAGCCAGGCGAAGGCGAGACCCAGCAGAGACCCCACCAGCACATCTGCATAAAGGAGACACATAACAACACAGATAAGAACTTTTGCTAAATTAGTCCCTTATTTACATTATGCACTATTATACACTATTTATGGGTTAGGTTTTTTTGTTGTTTTTTTAAGGGAAAATGGACATAAGTAACACAAGCACCTGGGTTCATCATGCAAATGTGATAAGTTATCCAAACCTACCTGGCCCTGTGTGAAAAAGTCATTGCCCGTAAACCTAAATTGCCATCCTTCACAGCAAGAATTGCAATCAAGCATGTATGATAACTGACAATTAGTCTTTCACATTGCTGTGGAGGTGATGTGCCCCACTCTTCTATGGAGAATTGTAATTAAGTCATAGGTCATTCAGTCATTAAGTCATTAACAGGCTCCTCATCATTGAAGGGTTTTCAATGATGAGGAACCTGTTTAAGGTCATGCGACAGATATGAATCAGATTTAAATCCAGATTCTGAGTAGGTCATTCCAAAACCTTCCTTTTTTCACATTTTCTGATAGAGAGCAGAATTCATGCTTCCATCAGTTGCAACAAGTTGTGAAGGTCTTGACGCAGCCCCAGACCATCACACTACCAACACCATGTTTAACTGTTGTTATGACGTTCTTTTTACGAAGTTAGTTTTATTCAAGATTTAATGGGACTCAAAAATTTCAAAATCACGACTGTCACAGAATATTTTCACAAAAATCTTGGGGATCATCAAAAAGTGTTTTTGGCAAATGTGAGACGAGACTTTGTGTCCTTTTTGGTCAGCATTGGTTTTCTTCTTGCCAGAGACATCCTTAGATGTTTTTCTGGGTTCTTTTGTGACCTTCTTCAATGAGTCATTGATGCAATCTTGGAGTAATTTTGGTAGGCTGGCCACTCCTGGGAAGGTTCACCACTGTTCACCAAGTTTTCTCCATTAGTGGATAATGGCAAAACATAAAAGCAAATACATGTAATATGTAACAAATTGGAAGAAATAATTTATGACGGATAGGGCATAAACAGGAAGAAGAAGTGTTGACTCTGAGTTGCTAAATAGTGGAAAGGGGGTGGGATTAAATAAGCTTATGCTTCTTCCTACTTCTTTTTTAACATGTAAGTTATTTATAAATATTATTGTCTTGTTTTCCTTTTGTTTTGTTTTGTTTGTCTATTTTTTCTCTGTTCTTGTTAGACTATTTTAACATCATTCAAAATAAAGATACAATACAATACAATGGCTCTCAGCATCATTTGCTGGAGTCCCAAACCATTACAGATAGTTTTGTAACCCTTTCCAGACTAATAGATGTCAATGACTTTGTTTCTCAGCTGTGTCTTCACTTTGTCAGACACGTTCTATTTAAGATGTTGGTTTTTTTTAATCAACAGGTCTGGCAGTAATCAGGGGTGGGTGAGGTAGTGAACTTGGCATTCAAAAAATGTGGTCAGTTAATTCATAACTTAACAAGGGGCTAATTACGTTTTCCCATATAGACAGGTAAGTCTGGATAACCTTTTGCCTTCATAAATAAAAGCGTGTAATAGAGATTTGTCTTTAAAATAGTACCCAAAATTTGTCAGCTAAAAAAGCCAACTACCAACTACTGCAGTGTTCAGACCAAGCAAATTTAACAGACCTTGCCAGTGGTGTTTGTAGTCGCAGGTTCTGGAGAGGGCGATCACAGCTGCAATGAGTAAAGGAGTGAGGAAGGCACACAGCCGCCACGCTCGGCCTTGGCCTGCTGCTGTGAAGCAGCGCAGCTTTCCTGCAATGTAGAGCGCTGTGAAGCCCAAACCTGCAAAGGCAACTGCAACCAAAGAGAAAGAAACGGAAGGGATGAAATAGAGCCAGAGGAAGTTTTATGCCACAAAATGGGAAATCAGAGCTGAAATTATAGCACTGTGCTGAATCCCCACCAGTTAATGATGTGGTCTGCACTACTCTGCTGTTAAGAGGCTGAAAAATCTCATACAGTTCCTTTTCTTGAAAGGGCAGAGAGACTTCAGCTGCGGAAGTCTACCTCACTGAGATGTGTAGTTGCATTTCTGATTTTTTTTTATGTTCATAGATTTAAGGCAGTACTATAACTCAAGCATGAGTCTAACAATGAAATAAGAGCCTAAAGGCTATTACACACTTGGATACATGTGCATTGAAATATACGCCCCCCTGCCTCACTCTGTGCCTCCATTTACTTTTCTTGTTGCCTGCTGATGAAAATTTACCAGCTCTGCAGCCATAATTGACCATAACAGCCTCTTACAGGAAGAATGCCCGCTGGGAAAGCTCTTTCTGCCTTCCATGATGACATCTGGGTCACCACTGCATCGCAGCTCCAGGTTCATCTGACCGTCTGGGAAACAACGGTAGAAGAAGTCTGGTCGTGGCCTGAGGATGTGACACAGAATGAACGTGGAGGACAAATGTGGAGCTTCTGGTTAAATTTGAATGTGCTATGTAATGTAACATGCTCACCTGCCAACTACAAGTTTGATGACATTGGTGAAAACCCCGTTCAGCACTAGAGTCAGAGTCACAGCTGGATGACAGAGGGAAACAGAACTGAATCATGAAAAAGATAAGTCAACTCAAAAAGCCAGCCAACACATTTAAATGCGACAAACCAAAACGCTCTTTTGCACGAGTTTCCTACCCAGTGAGGCTTCCTTCAGATCACCACGCTCCGACTTATTCAGGAAGGTGAAAGCCAGGATTACAATCAGCGGGGTGCAAACCGCCACACTCTGTAACAGATCAACAAAAGAGGAGATCATAACAATAATAATTGTAAATCCTCTCCATCTGAGACTGGACACACACAAAACTCTCCACAGATTCAATATTAAAATGTCTAACGTTACAGCAGTGAAAAGCACATTTACAGCCTCTATGGAAAGTTTACACCTTTAACAACACCTGCTGTATGGTGGGTGATTTACTTATAACTCATAAATATGGTTACTGGTAGAATTTAAAAGGTGTTTTTGGGTAATTAAACTATATTTCTGCACTGTTTTGTTTATTTTTTGCTACTGGGACCTTTTAGACCATTTTCAAAATCATATTATTGGACATATCAAATACCCCATTGTGCAGTACAGCTTTCGTCCTATGCTGATGTTTTAGGACTCCTAAAACTTTCAGGATAATAGACCAGCCATTTTTAAGGAAATCAAGACATCTGCTCAGACCATAAATTGGAAATTAATAACCAGGGTTTACCCAGATTGCAATGGGTCAACATGTTTATTTTGACTATTTATGACAAAAAAAAACAAGTATGCAGTGGATGTATGCAGTCTTACAGCACAGCATTCATCAGGAGTGGACTGTGCATCAAAACATATCCAAACTAAAAAGACAAGATGTTAATTTAATATGTAAATTAACCATCATGCAGTTTAATTTTGAAGCTAAAAAAAATCCAGAGAGTTATGATATATTATGAATATATTTTCTCACAGAAATATGAACTTATGGGAGTTAAGGTCCTAAAAAGAAACTTTACAATGATCCTACAAAACAGCAGAAAGTTAACGTGTTCCAATAAAGTATAAAAATGACCAGAGGGATTTTATTTATTCCAGTTTATCAAACAGCTATACTCACAAACATAAGAGAGGTGGGTACATGGTCCCTCTCCACGCGGTGGAATTTATACAGCCACATCTCCTCTGCCTGGATCTCACGGTAGAAAGGAGGAAGCTGCTCCGTCACACTGAGCAAAGCACAAATGGTGTTAAGGTGGTGTTTGCCCACAATAAAACAAAATGCTTGCATTCAGATGTTGTGCCTGTCCCAGGGATAACTTACAGGAACACCACCAACAGCGCCAGCCGGATGGAGATTTCCGACAGGAAACCACGCAGCAGCCTCCTCTTCATTTTGTTTCTCGGAGTGGACGTCAGTCAACAGCAAACATCTTCACTCCACCATCTTTTAACTTAACTGGGACTAAAGACAATGGAGAGCTGAGTCTTAGTTTTACTTTAGATGTTGAAAGAAAAACAATGAAACCTAAACGATGAGAAGATTTTTTTTTTGGTAGATGGTTAGCAGTTAAATAGTTTCAGTGATTTATGCAAAATACTTTAGTTACAAGTGTGTGCATTACAAGCAGCTGAAGTTATTCTGCTTTATTCTGTTGAGGTGGTTCAGTTATTTCCTGGGCACCTCCTGGTGATACTGGTTAATATTTTGGGCTGTAAGTCTAGTTTTAACCTTAACATCTACAGCCAATCACCTGCCTCCATCTCCCCTTATCCTTACTATCCTCCTCTGTCACACCAAATTTCCTTGACTACACCCATGAAAATTTCTTTGAAGTATTCCTCTTTTCCTCCTGCATGGCAGCTACATCTTCAACATCCTTTGTCCAGTATGGTCACTATTCCTCCTCTGCAAATGCCCAAATCATCTCGGCCTAACCCCTAACTTTATCTCCAAACACTCAACCTGAGTTGCCCCTCTGATGTACTCATTTCTAATCCGTTCCATCACTCCCAATAAAAATCTTAACAACTCTACCACCTCCAGTTCAACCACCCGTCGTTTGAAATTAAGTTAAAAGATAACCCCGTTTACCAAAATGAGGGCATGAAACGTCACATGAAAGGTAACAATTCCAAGTTTCTCAAAATAATCACCATTAAAGCAAAACTACTTACATTATTTATACATCCTATATACAGAAAAACAGCAAATATAAACGCTGTACTACAGTAAATATATAGAGCCCACTAAGACCTGTAAGGTAATTTTTTTTTTTTATCTTATTACTTGTTTGATTAAGATAATCTCTTGCTCGAAGAGATAAATAACTTGTTTGCACAAGATAAAAACCGTTGTGTAACTTGTGTCCACAATAAAATGCTCTCAAAAGCCAAATAACTTGATTTGCACAAGGTTAAAAACAACTCTATCTTAAGGGACTCCATAAAAATGGGATGTATGTAAAATGATCTTGACACTTAACATCTGGTGTTGGTCTAAAGGAGGAGAAATCAGATTACTCTTGTAATCTTAATAAATACATGAGGGCACCATTCATTTGAAATCACAGGCAAAACGATGTCAAATGCGCCTATTTGAGCTTATTATTTTAAACAATGCAAAAAATAAAATAAAATTGATGAATCCCCCTCTTTACACATCGTATGTTCGCACAGATAAATACAGGTAAAGATAAAAAGGCAGTTTACATCAGTATTTACACTGACCACGTCTAAAATCTGGCATAAAGGCCAACATGCTGCACCTGTGCCCTCCACTTCCAGATGCTCTATATATTAAAGAGGTTCCATTTGACCGGATATAACATAAACGCATTGAATTATGATGAGTGCCGTCGGTACAGAGGAAAATGAAATAAAAATGAGCTTTATTTAAGTGATCTGTACAAAGTATACGTTAGCAGACTAAGCTAAGCTAAGCTAGCAACATCTGTCACCATAGACATCTGGCCGATTTCCGCGTTGTCAAGCAACTTAACAAAAATTAACACTACTAACCTTAAACCGGAAGCTGTTCTTTACCTCTTTATCCTCATAGTTTAATCTTCTTGTAACATAAAGCAGGCCCCTAACTCTTCTGTGTCTACCGAAGGTGTAAGTCGAGCATTCTTAGATTTGAGAGAAACAGGGATGTCACGGAGGAGGAGGAGGAGCGCTGCGTGAAGCTAACGCACACCGCGCGCGCGTCTGGTGTGAGCTGTCAAAATAAAAGCCTTAAAAAATTAAAGTGTTAAGTTAAATGCGGCTCAAAGTCCCGTCGTACTCCAGATAGATAGATAGATAGATAGATAGATAGATAGATAGATATATAGTATGAAGATATATTCAAAAAAGCGAGTTGTAGTGAAGAATTGCGATTGTGTAGTTTACTGTGTACATTTTTTAAAAAGTATATTAAAAAGATGGCCAGCAATTATAAAACTGAGGTATGGTGACAGTTTGTTACTTTTTTCCATGTGTGTTATTTAGTAACACACAGGGAGTGTGTAAGGTATAAAAGTGTTAATTCAGTAATTTTCGATGGACAATTCTTTTTTGCTGTTTTGGTTTTGGGTTGTTTTTTTTTTTAAATTATTTTTCGTTTACTTTTTTTCGGGTGGGGGGTTGTAATGTACTCATGATATAAATGCTTCACGATGATCCACGTTTGTTCCAAAGGAGAAAAAACATTTGCTTGATGTTTTGTAAACCGGAAGTTGTCGTAGATCAGTTTTTTCTGCTTGACACGTGGAATGCAAGAAGCCACGTCACGTTACGAATGGCCACCTAGAGGTTACAGAAGATGTCTGCATGATTTATTCAAATCAAATCAAATCACTTTTATTGTCACATCACATGTGCAGGTACACTGGTACAGTACATGTGAGTGAAATTCTTGTGTGCGAGCTTCACAAGCAACAGAGTTGTGCAAAAA